GGTGGTGGCGGTGGTGGCGGTGGTGGTGGCGGCGGTGGCGGTGGTGGCGGTGGCGGCGGTGGCGGCGGTGGCGGTGGTGGCGGCGGTGGCGGTGGCCGCTTCCATGCAGGACCCTCGCCACTGGATGGCGTTAAATACAACATTTCCTGCAAGGTCTCCATAGTCACACACGGTAAGTGTTCACCGCTTTTTTGGCCTTCCTTCCTTTGGCGCACCGCACTGCACCGCATGGACTGCACCGCGTCTATATGTGTCAGCGCATCACTCAAACATACTAAGCCACACTACGTCGGACTCGTGCCGCCCAGCCGGGGGACTACGGCCCCCTCGCGGGCGAAGCAGCCCGCGTCTAGTATGTCTGCATGTGTGTAACTCTTGATATAGTTGTGTGCAGTGGTGTTGACTCGAGCAGTTTCCGTGTCTTACAGAGCACCAGTGGTATAGTGGTAGCATAGGTCCTTGCCACGGACCAGACCCGAGTTCGATTCTCGGCTGGTGCAGCAGTGACTCGCACGTTTTGAAGCATTCTACGGTGAACCACAGGCATCTCACTGCCTTCATTAGTGCATGCACGCCCCCATGCATGTGCGCGATCCTCCATACCTACTTCGAATTTGTTGTCCCACATGCCCGAAGCGCGTGTGTGCTGGTTGCAGGTCCAAGTGTATGTCCTGGGTATTAGGTGCATTGTTGCATGCCAATAACACCCAGGCAGGAAGGAATGAATGCTATGGTGTAGTGAACTTTAAAGTGCTCTGTCCTGTGCAAATAGATGCAAAGGCACACGCACACAGCAGGGAGACAAGCAAACAAGTGAGGGACTGCAAATAAAGTGCAATACAGCATATGTGTATGCATGTATATGTGTACATATGTCATCCATCGTCATGCGTGTACACGGCTGGCCACAAACAGGATTACATATGCCAGGTTTTTTTATTAGTGCACTCTGTGAGTGCAGTAGTGCAAGTACAGCTCTCCATCCATCATAACCGACCTTAGCTTGCATTCAAAGGTGCTAGCACCAAATCCATAGCTCCATGATTAAGAGATTTGTAGGGAGCACCATACACTCGTTGGATTAGAATACATGTATCCAGCAGACACACACACACACACACA